GTATGAGGTGAAAGAGAGAAATGGGCCTTAACAAGCAGATGAGTTTATTTCAGTTGATGATCAGTAAATGCCCAAGAAGATAATCTGTTTTCCTCAAATCATATTTCCCCTCCTATTCAGCAAACTGATCTCTAATATTTTCTAGGTCTCGGGACATGAACTCCCCTCACCTGTTCAATTCCTCTGTTTTCAGTATTGCCAGTGATCCTTGCTAGCCTGGCTGTGGGCCATCTCTTCGGTAAATTGTCTACCCAACACATCCTACATGAATCGTCATGGCTCATGGCCCCTCTATCTTACTCCTCCAAGTTTCCTAGGTCCTGGAGAAGCAGGTGTAACACCAACTGATGTCAGGAATGCTGTGTGTCCTTCTTGGGAAGAGCGGGGCCCACTTCTGCTCCACTATTCTATAGGAGACCCTGAGTGGTGTGGCACCCAAAGGACCTTGGCAGAGGGTGGGGCTGGCTGGGCCTTCCCTTCACACCTCTCTATTTCTGTAACGTGTGTCTTCACAAGGCTGCCCTGATGGAGAGTCCTAAACGTCTCCTGACAATGTCACCAGTGATCCTCCCAAAACACTGCCTCCTCAAGAACTTGCAAAGGTTTCCCAATGCCTATGACAGACAAAGGCTTACATGAGTAGGTGCAAGAATACTCTCATACTTCCAGCTCCGGTTATGTCACCCCAGGGACCCCTTGTTCCAACCACACCAAGCCTCTTACAATGGCCCGAGCATTCTCCTTATTTCCTCCACTGGACAGAACAGTGAAAGAGTTCATAATATGGGCTTAGAAGCTAAACCACCTGGGTTCAATCTTCCTAATTAGGTAAGACTCACCAGATTCACTAGACTTTACATCTCAGTTACTCAGCTTCTGCATCGGTAAAATGGGGGAAAGTATAATTCTTACTCATGGAGTTATAGTTAGGACTCAGTGTGTTCAAAGGCATAACACTCTGGGAATGATGATGCCTGGCATCCAGTACAATGAACAAGGGTAGGTATTGGTATTACTAGAGAACTCTCCTCATCAGTCAGGGGTAGATTTAATAAACCTTCCTTCACAAACCAGCCTCAGCCTCCCACACTAGGGGTAATGACATCTCTCTCTGTTCTCACGGCCTCTGCTAGTACATCTCCAAGCTCCTTCTACTCTATTTGCCATACACACTTGTCTGTCTCCTACATTAAACTGAGATCATTTTGAAGACAGAGACCTACTGTAACCCATCTTACTTTTCACTCCTCGAAGACTTTCTAGGCCTTGAATACAGTAGACTTCGATAAACATTTGCTGGGTGAGAATTAATCTGAGAAAAGGAACAGAAACAGCTGAAATGCACAGCGTTTTTGGGTCCCATTTGAGAATATGGTGCGAGAGCCCAGACGTTTACTCTGTACTGCCTACCCAATGGAGAAATATTCCTAGGATCCAACAGCATTTGTGAATACAACTACGTGAAGGTGGCTGTGGAAAGAACTGAATATGATTGTAAGCTGGGCAGGGATTGAAGCAGTCCATGAATCTGCTTCAATTGTAGCCAAAGTGGTGCCCAGTGTCCTTTTTTTCCCCCCTAGAGAGTCTTTCTAGAGAGCTTTCATTTGATGTTCTGTGGGGTCTGTGAGACCCCCAAATTAAGAACACTTGACTTAGTTATCTAGAGACAATATGCTTGCCCTCTACGGCCTTGCAATGGAAGGGAAACACAGCCCTCCTCCCAAGGCACAGACTCAGTAGCAGAGACAAGTGGACAATGAGTGCTTGTTGATTTTAAAGGGAAACTAGGAGAAGCTCCTTAAATCATTCCATGTTAAGAGACCAACAAGGAATTCGAATAACAAGAATCTGGGAAACTCCATGGCCCGCTCCTCCTTCGGGGGATGGGAAGCCAAAGGTTATCTGTCATGACACAGGAATGCCTGGCTTGGAGCACAGACGGTTGCCATTTGGCTCAGTCTGGCTGCGAGAGTTGTTGTCTGTCACGGTGACTAAAAAACATAGTGCATCAGGATCCAGACACACAAAACGAAGCTGTTCACCTAATGACTGTGCCGAGAGTTAAGTGACACTGAAAAACCAGGGTATGTCTGATACCAGAACAAAGGGGAGACAAAGACCATTAGTGCAGAGTCCCGGCAGCATTTCATGCTGGCGGATGGTTTGCAAGAAACCCTCGCGCAGAGCCTGTTTTATTTGCAGAAGCCACAGTGGTAAATTAAAGCCCATCCTAGCCCATTCTGGGCTCTCCGGTTTCTCTTGGAGCTGTTCCTATCACTGCCCATAGGCCACTAAAACCTTTCCACGTTCAGAATGATTGATTCCGCTCAAACAAGCAAGCCGCAAACTCATGTCGAAAAACTCACTTCAAATAAGTCATTAGCTTCCTTTATGGATTTTTCAGGTCATGAGGAATAGGACCTAGGAGCCCTGTCTTCTGCAGAGGAGAAAGGGAGTATGTGAAGAGGTGGGGCGACCTGGAGAAGCCACCAGATGCTGCATGAGCCCCTCTCTCTTTTCAGTCAACAAGAGACGTATAACAGAAACAGGTCCTGGCAACCTCACTGTCAGGGCCAGGTATTCCAACCAAACGAAACTGCACGTGCTGGAAGTGAAGGGAAAACGACAGCTCAGCACCCTGTCTTTGTCTCCAGAGCACTTGGGACACAGAAAGTCATGGCAAGGAAGGAGTGTCTGAGACTTTGACTCCTCGTGGGACAGGCTGTTTCAGCTGAGCCGCAAGTGAGACCGCGGGGGGCAGGTGGGAACAGAAGTAGCTGTGGCCGTTGTGGTAGCCCAAAGGCACCAATACCAGAAACCCAAGTTCCGTAGCTTGGCAAGCTTCGGCTCACCGCCTGACCCACGTTTAGCAATTCTGATGTACCACGGAGCAGACAGCTCCAGCCCGGGATGACTGCTCCCTCAGCCCCTCTCCAACAGGCAATGAAAGCAAGACCCACTTTGAAAATTCTCCCCCATCATGCAAACTGACATAGGCATGCTTTTCAAAAACCCACAGCCAATCTGTTGATCATTACTTATTTACAAAGGCCTTCGGGCAGAAAGTCCTGTAAAAACCATACTTGATACGGTATACACTAGCTTTTTCTGCTTGTGGAAAAAAAGTCCCCCCAAGGCTACCTCAAACCATCACTTTCTATTGCACATAAAATGTAGCGTGTAACACTAAAGTATTTAATATATATGGTATAATATATCTACAGGAAAGGCATTTGTGTAGAAGTATGTTACCCTGGATTTGGTAATTTGATGTTTTGCTGAAGGCTACGACTTAAAAAAGCTTCCACCTCGTACAGAAGACCTGTCATCTTGGTACCCAAGAGCCAACAGAATAAAGAAGTACCCTTAAGCAGCAAAACTTTGACACAGCTTTGAAGCATATGAAAACAGTATAACGCCTCAGAATTATTATTACTCAAGATCAAAGAAATGAGCCATACTTTACATAGCAAACAGGGACAGGGAATTTGGCTCCAAAGGTTTCAGATTTTTCAGACTTCTCTTTATTTATTTACTTGCTTCTCTAAATTTAGGCAAAAGAAAGCGCCTGGGCTTTTCTCTACTTTAAATGGATAAAACTATTAGCATTAGATAAGGCGATTACCTAAAGGTGAGTAAATAGGAAACGAATGGTAGCATGACAACTGGCATCGTAAAAATGAGAAGCTTGGCAGTTGGTGCATTTCATTGCTCCTCATAAAGTGTAAACAAGCATGTAAATCAGCAACACCCCAGCAAGATTGAGCGAACGGGCAGGCAGAGGACTGGTAAGGAAACATTTAACAGGAAGAGACGATCATAACGGAAAAGGACATGGGGCCAGGGGCTTCTTCCATGGGAACCTGTGCCCTGGACCGCATGGAGGACTGCCCCGTCTGTGTCCCAGAAGGGTGGCCGTGGAAGGCCAGGAAGATGCGAGTGAATGGAGGGAGGGAAAAGTAGGGGGAAGTGGCCATAATTGTATTTCAGTAATCAAAGGGAGGAGAGCAGCCAATGGCAATGAAAAGAAGAAAGAAACATCAAGATGGCAGGTATTTCCAAGGCAGTTATCATTCAGGGGTCACTCTTGTTTCATCACTGGGGTGCTGGAGAGTTAGGATGTTGGAGGAAATAAGCACATGATTGGCAGATGAGTCGCAGACAATCTGGGGAAATGAAAGATGAAGAGGCCCGGAAGAGAAACCTGCAGAAGTCTGTCAAAATCTGGTTTCATTTGCCATTTCTGAGAGGAAGCCATAGTCAAGACAGAAAGAAGGATGGGAAGGAAGGAAGGGGGAAAGAGGGAGGAAAGAGAGGAAGTGAGGAAGGAAGGAAGGAAGGAAGGAAGGAAGGAAGGAAGGAAGACAGAGAAAGAGTACACACACGCCGTATTTCATAATTAATACTGCTTTTAGCCTGAGCAGAACTGGATTACTTTTGAACTTTGCTTTGGCAAGTCCACAGATTATTAGACTTTTTTATCAGTCAAAATCAATTAACAGAAATTTGATTTCAATCGACAGGATAAAAGGAAGGTAATCTTCAGGTTCATTTTTGATTGTGATGATACATCTCACATATGGCCTTAAGTACAGAAAACAGTCCTCGGAGGGACTCCAGCAGAAAGAGACTTGCCGGAGGCAAACTAACCACATGAGTTCCTCTGATTGGTTGCCGCCGTCATTAGTGCCACTGCTGTTTAGGAACTACACATAGACAGGACATGGTGACAGCTAAGACTTTAAAGCCTATGTATTTTTCAAACAGCTTTTCAAACTGTTTTTCATGACAGAATTTTTTCAGCTCTATCATTAACTGCTGACAAGCTGACAGAATAAATACTCCAGCCTTTAAGAAGCCACCTAACGATTGGTCCCCTCCCCCGCCTCGTGCTTGCTGGGGAGGGGCGGCTCAGGGCCTGGGCAAGGCGGGGAGGGGGCCGGGAGAGGAGGAGAAGGCGCTCAAGGGGGACCCGCATGGCCCGCGGCCCCTCTTCTTACCTCATCAGCTTGGGTGAGGAGCTTGGTGAGTTCCGCATGCCTCCGTTCCGTTGCTTTTTTTTGGGGGACAGTGTTGATGGCGGCTCATCTTCAACTGGAAATATAGGCAGCTCATGAGATTATGAACAGTTTGAGGGCAGACCGTGAAATACAGGCAAGCTATCAAAGGACACACACTCACGGCTCAGTCACTCACTAGGAATTCATGGCTCTTTTAGGACCCAGTGACAAAGACCAAATGCGTTAGTCAAAGAGGCCGGCTTCGAAAAGGTGAAACCATCACCCCTTAACTCTCCAGCCTTTGAACATGCACTTTAAACAGACTAAACCAGTTTGTAAAAGCCCTACCATAAGAAAGGAAAGAACGCATGATTTATCTGTATATAAAATATATTACATATATGGGAACACTCAATCATTTTTCTTAGAGTTAATTTTAGTTACTTTGTTGAGTAATCGAATGGGTTTTCTCATAAGCAAAATCAGAAATAAAGTTGTATGGGAAATAGCAGCATAGTAGCTGCCAACCAGCTGATTCTACAAATAAACCAACGTAGCTGGTGCCTAATCCCTGCACGCCAGACGAAGAGCCTTGGAAAGAGGCAAGGATTTGAGGCCTTGACAGCCAATGTTTCAGTCAGTCAGCGCTGGGAACACTGATGCATGCTCAAGGATCCATAGCCCATCTCAGCTCTTGTCCCTGTACCTCCCTAGAGGGAGAGCATGTGGGGTCGTGCACAGAGGATCCTTTTTTAACTCATTAAGACTGGGCTGTGAGTTTGGAGAACAAGGCCGGAGAAGAGCACCCACATGAAGGAGGAGGTTGCCATTGAATGGCATCTCGGATGATGTGGTGGGGGCAGGGAGGGAGGGCAGCATAGGGGTTTGGAAACCAAAGGCTGTTTTCCAAATGTCTAAACCACACAGATCGCTAAGCAATATGAAGGTTCGCTCACAAACAACACAGCACACTCTACTGCTTTTGCCCAAAGACACCCGCTAATAAGCTTTATAGATGTATTAGCCTGCATCATGCTTCTTTTTAAGAGAACTGCTTGATAATTAGCAGATGCGCACCCAGCCTGTCACCCAAGGGCATCAGCGGCAAAAGTCTAGCCCTCCTCTCCCCACCCCCACAATTCAGGCTAAAGCTGTAATGTCAAGAAGGAAAAATAGGTTCCTTGGATTCTTAGAGTTGACTGCAACACAGACTGGGAGGAAGCACCCTTGAAACTCAGAATGCACGGCCGTTACCTTAAAGCTAAGAAGAGAAATATTAGCAGTGATGACATCAAAAGAAGCTTGACATACGTTAATGGTGTACAAGTCTTGGGTGGGGGGACAGCGCCACCTCAGCTACTCGAGAATGCCCAGGAAGACCCATATCAGGACATGCCTTATATGGTACTTTCCTGAAAACCCTAAATAAATTTAGTGTTACCATACATGGTTCCAAGGGATCATAATAATCCAACTATCTTCCAAACCTGCTTCAGAGTGTCCCACTTCGTAGGTTCCCCTAATCCACTGTTAGTCTGGGGTCGTCTATATTCTGGCTGACACGTGGAAAGGGAGCAAGAACGCGGTTTGAGGTGAGAGTGATTCCAGAAGGCAAGGAAGCACCTACAAATGCCCACAGCCCACTCACTCCAGCAGCTGCTCCCCCGCCCCATTCCCCCTGAGGCCCAGGCTCAGGCTGCGACCCTATCAGTCACTTAGGGCTCCAGGCAGGAACTATGTGGCTGGGAGGATATCGCATCTTATCAGAAATGAGTATCCACAGCAAATCACACAGAGACTAAACAGCACTTAAAAGATTAAAGGAAATAAATACAAGCCACATAAATGCTATTGAAAAAAATCACTTAGAGTTGATATGCATCTCTCAGCAAGCAAACAGGCACTCTTAGCTTGACCTGAATTCATCTTCCTTTCACAGGATAGGAGGCCAGGCATCCCAGGTTAATAATGGGGTAGAAAGGCAGTGAGAGAGGGAGAGAGAGAGAGACAGAGAGAGAGGGGGAGGAACAGGGAGACAGAGAGAGAGAGAGACGTGTGTGTCTAAGTATACTTTGGCGTTTTCCGCATCTAAGGATGGGGTAGAAAGTCTTGCATTGATTCCACCCATAATACAAGGTTGCCTTTTAATATGGACCGCTTACAGTTGTTGTACTGTGTTCAGGGTGACGTCGATTCGTTGAGTCACAGGACAGACTAAAATAATGTGTGCATGTGAGTGGGTCTAGTGGGGGTGAGTGTCCTTGCTTCTCTATCACACAGGCCTCCTTAGGCTTGGAGTGACATATCCAAAAAGGTTCTTCACCTAACCTAAGCTACTATGACTTAGCCTCATTCAAGGACCCCAGATGTTACCATGGTTTTGTCCAATTTATACGCTGAGTCTATTTTAGTTAAGACCTGAACAGAAGTCACACTCATTGGCGTTTCTGTTGGATACCTCTGCTTAACTGTTGTTTCCCCATTGGCCCTGGACCTATAATAACCCACTTTGGTTAAGCGTGGGTTATCCTTGCACCTTGTCACTGTTTGTTTACCTGCAGCGATCTTCAAATGGAAGACATGTAAGTTACCCAGCTCCAGGGAGACACTTCGTTCTAGTGCTAAAATTATACCTCCTTCTACGCAAGGAAACTATTTATTTTCATTGCAACTCACAAAGATCATCCATCATAATCATGCTGCATTTAAACTGGGATTTGTTCTCTTAAATGAAACTCATGTTCAAAGGTTTCCTCCTGCACTCACAGGCGTAGAAATGCAGATCTGTTCCCTGAAGAAATGGGGTGGGGGGGGGGGAATGTCTTCAGCTTAAATATATGAACGCTGGGTAATGGAGACCATTACATATGGCTTAGATCCCATGAGAGAAGTAGTGATAACTTCTTTCTCATAAGTAGGTTATAAACCATATTTAATTATTAGCCTTTCTATGGATTCTATCAATTTCTGCATATTTAAAGAAAGCAGACCTAGAAAAACTTTTAGTTAAGCTATAAAATATAATTTTCATTTCATGGCTTCTGTGACTACACGAAAGGAGTAAAAATTGAATTACAAAGGAGACTTAAATTTACTTACTTTCACGAGAGACAAACGTATTGAAGTAATTGGCCAGCACCTCCTGTCAATGCACATTTTCAGGCTCCTACTTAGACTGCGTTTTGGCTAATTTGGCTAATTACAATACACCTCTGTCTCCATCATTTTCACCTGCACCACACTGTGGATGATATGATCTCTGAAAGGAACCTGACTTGCCAGCTTCTTTAAAACACAAACAAGTTCAGGAATCTTACGTGGAATTTTTATAGGAGCTGAACTCCATCCAGTCTCCAAGTCCTCATAAAATTCAAGGGCTTGTTTTTGCACATCCCTAAGTATAACACTTAATGTGCTGTTGTAACTTCCCAGAGCTCACTTGTCTAATAGGCACTGAATCTAACAGTTTTACATTTTGGGAAGACTCAGTGCTAGAAAAATGTCAGGCAAGTCTAATGAGGCTTCAGATCCCTTGGTTTGCGCTAGAGTTTAATTTAAAGTTACAATGATGTTTTAACATGTTTGCTTATACTTGACTAAAGAGGATTCATTATTTCAATGACATAACCTCCAGACAATGTTCTGGGAATTGATTTAAGATGTGGTGGTAATTCCAACAGCCTTAATGCAGAGTCGAACATCTGTAACAACATTTTACTCGACTCTTCATCGGCATTCTGTTTTCAAGCGAAAGCAAGGCAACATCTTCCAGAAACACTGGCCAGAACTCTGGGCTTATTTCAAGATGATCCTATATTTTACTGGATTTTTTTTTAAAACAGAAATCTCTTTTTTTATTGGCGTCGCCAGCTTGCAAACACTGTGTCAGGGTTACCAACGCCTCTTTGTGGGCCTTTTGAGTAAAATGGGGCCAGGATTCCACCTTTCAGCTTTCCCAAATAGCCCAGTGCTGACATGTGATGGATCTTATGCTCAGCTCCAGCCTGGGGCACATTCCTTCTTCCCTGTTTCCTCCACAGGGTTTAGGGGGATGAGGCCCTTTGACACTTAAAGGTGAATTTGTTGGCTGGAGTTAAAAAACAGTTCAAAGCAAATAAATTCGGAAATGCAATAAAAGGCAAACAACCCATAAACATGAGTCGACTGGCTATCTCCGTTACATTATGAATCACCACATCTGGAGAAACCCACATCTGCACACACTTAGCAGGTCATTAGTAATGTCATATTCACACTGGAATCACTCAGAGTGAGCGGCATGCAAAGTGGCTTGAATGCAAAGGCATCTAGCTAACAGGGCTTCCGACTAAAGTCTTGAGCAAGCTGCTAGTTTGAGGGCAGGGTCACTTTAATTGTTATTTATTGTTTTCTATGGCTTTTCTCTTTGGTCTTTTGCTGCCCAACAAGCTGAAGGCATGCTGAAATCAACAATAGTACATCTTTCTTCTTCAACTGAGCTCAGCATGTTAAGCTAGAACACTAAGGGGTGCAGTTATTAAAATAAGGACGGGCTCCAGAGCTCCTTCACCTGGCTCGGTCACAAGCCGAGAATTGTGAGTTGTGTCCTTGAACTCAAATGGGTCTTTGGGATAGCGCGATCTAGCTGCAACCTTGACTGCCAAACAATAACGAGAAAAAGAAAACGGAAATGAATCCTCTGCAAAATTTTTCATTAGGAAAGTTCCAAACAAGTTTTAACATTGAATAGAATGATCGCTTTACATGAAAAGGGAAGTTTCTTCCTCACAGCTGAACTGCAGTTTTTCTTTTTCTTTTCTTTTACCCCGATGGCTTCTTGAAATTCTTTTTGCTGGGTTTTTGTCATCAACGTCAGAAGGGATAATATGTCAGAAAACAATATTGTTTGTGCAATAATTTCCAAAAACCTACAGAGGACCCTTCTCCCCTATGACATAATACACAGACACCAAAAACTCAGTTTAGCCGCAAGACCAGACCCATTATTTCCTGAAGTCTGCTAGAATGCATCCTACTGACTAATCATTATATTGCAAGTTATCAATCTTCAATGTTAAAGTGTCATTTTCATCCCACACCGCAGGTTTGGTCACTTGGCCA